CCTCAAAATGGGTTTACAGAATTTTTTTTAGGAAATCAGCTAGTTTCTCATCAATTAAGTTTAATATCGTGATAACCCTTGGCCAACTTTAGTTGATATTGTTAATTTTACCAATGGCAGGCACCATATATGATTCACTGATGCAGGAAAAAATGGGTTATACATTTATTTTATTTTTTATAAACAATTTTCAAAATTATTGCCCATCTTTAGCAGACTGTAGATCTGTAGAAAAGTTGAAAGTACCAGGGTAGTAGAAACAAGACTCAAATTTGGAAAAAATGTGTCAGCTTCAGGTATTTTTGTAAAACATATTATTTTATTTAACAATTTCCAGCTAAATATAGTGACACTTATATCCTATGTAAATGGTACCAGAAAAACTTATTAAGTTTGTTGATTATATAAAACCCAGGTATTTTATCACCAAGCATGCAGTTTTACATTTGTTTATACACCTAAGGTATGGTGTAACCAGTCCTTGTGTACCTTGTGTATACACAAGTTAATCACTGAAAACTGTTGATCATCACTGATGATTACCTGAAATTGTTGATATATGCATGCAAGCAAACAAGAAATCTTGTACACAAGAGAGTTCTCCATATGTCATTGAAAATAGATGTATGCTATCATTTCTATATTCCATATAACTTCTCTTAATTGAGATGATCATGTTCCGTACAATCTATAGACATTCATACAATGCCATGAATGCATGATGATTTATTTTTTAATAAATGTATCAATCTAATATAGAGAAATTTAATAAGTTTGAATTCATGCATTCCCATAACAAAGAAACTCACAACCTTAGACTTCCTTTTTACATGTACATGATTGTTTTTATATTGTATTAAGGAATAAATGCTATGAAAACAATGAACGAAAATGTTTTGTTGAGAAAAGTTTTTGTGTTTATATATATATATTTAGTTTTTCTAGTTTATTTCCTGCGATTTTTACCCAGGAAATTTTTTCAAAAGCAGTGTAGTTTTAGTAAATTAACTGAAATTATTGTTGTTTACTTACATTTGGATATATAAGGTGTGTGAATTAAAAAATTGGAAATTTTGGAGAAAATTCAGTTTGTTTTAACATATTTTTCCAATTATAAGATCATAATATGTATATATACATTCTAGTTGAATGCTTTTTAAGTATATAATCAATAGAATACACAAATCCATAGAAAAGTTTCAGAATTAATTTTTATTAACCAGTGTTAACAGAATTTTATTTGAAAAATTAGAACTTTTTATTTAAAAAGACAAATCTCCACCAAAAATTTGATCATATACAGACAGTCAGACCATAAATTTAACTCATGTAGAAAGTTTGATAAATGATGTGTTAAAATTAATTCCCAACAAATTACTTAATATCAATTTATATAGGGCAATTTTGAAAACTAAATCAGGCAAAAAAAGAATTTTGAAAGTGTTATTTTTTTTTAATACAAGATTTGGAAGTGATTCTATTTAACCTCGATCATTTTGTTGTACTTAAGCTCCTGACTTCTGATATGTTTACAAAAAAACATCATCTTAAATTTATAACACACTCATTTTTTTTTATTTTGTAATTAAAGGCACTTCATTGTTTGGAAACTGTAAACCATTTATGGGTAGTTTTTCATACTTTCTAGACTTGAATGAGGATGCAAGTTTTTTCCCCCAAATCATCTATAGTTGCACTTCTGACATAAATAATTTATTTTATGTGTTAAATACCAGGGGCAGAAGGGGTTTTAAAAGAAATAATTTGAAAATGGCACCGTATGCATTTTCTCAACACAACTGTAAGCACTTTCAAAAGAAGATTTTCAAAAAAATGATGCTTTTTCACTATATTACCAATAGATCCTCGCCCTACACCAGAACCCCTAGCTTACCCACAGGCCATAAAGTTTCACAATTTTGTAAGAGGCACCCTTGCTCATATATGCATCACACCATGCATTTACTGGTAACATGTTTGCCTAATTTAATATCCTAGAGTAAAGAATATTTTGAAAGAAATAATGCTTTTTCACCAGATTACCCTAAAACCTGACCCCTGGGCCACAAATTTTACAATTGATAGCTCAATTAATGCTTATTACATTCATGTCAACAGTTTGACTATTGGATTTCCAAGAGTAAAGAAGAAGATTTTAACAATTGCATATACAATGTATTTTGATGGTTTTAGTCCCATCCTTCAAGCCCAGAAGGGGAGAGGGGTCAAGGACCATGAAATTCAAAATTCATGTTTCCCTTTACCTATAAAAACTGGTTAACTTTACCCATAAAACTGGTTAAAATTGGTTCAGTGGTTCAAAAGAAGCTGAAAATTTCAACATTTTATGACCAATGAACAACAAACATAAACAAATCACAATTGGTAGGTCAACTGAATGACTCAGGTGACCTAAAAAAATTATATTTACAATAAACAGTTTACTTTGTAATTAACAAATGAACATAAATCATATTTAGATTTATTAAGGTTGAATGGAATGTCATTTATTAATCTAAGTGGTTCTTTGGGTTTGTTTGTTGGGATTTCATCATGGTCCTAAATGTCCCTTGGGGTTCTTTTATTCTTTATGTTTTGTATTATACAAATATACAATAAACAGTTATAATTCATAATTAACAAGTGCATTTAAACCATGAAAAGATTTTTTAAAAGTTGAATTGAGTGTCATTTGGATTTTCTTTCAGGTACCTTGGCTTATCCTAGTGGTACAGGGGTTATCATTAGGATTCTTCTTGGATATCAACTTTTGGTTTGTGTATTGACTACTGCAATACACAATTAACCATTAACTTTTTGTACATCATAAAAAGACACAATAATTTAACTGTTCCTCTGAACTATAAATGCATAATTTAGCTTAAATAAGTATATTTACTTTTAAATTTTTAACTTGGATAACTGCTCTATATTTAAGACAATTAAAGTGTTAAATTGGCTTTCAAAAACATTTTTCTCTAACTTACTAGTGCATATAAACCATATTTAGAATAATTAAGGTTGTATATGGTGTCCCTGGGGTACCTTGTGGTATCCCTGGGGTTCCTTGTGGTTCCTTGTGGTACCTTGTGGTTCCATGTGGTAAAAAGACGCACCCGAATATCTAGGTTAAGTTCTGTTCTGGATACGATCGAGCAAATTTTGACAGAGTTATGCCCTTGGACCATGTGTGGACTTAGAAAAATTCCAATTATTTGGGGGGGGGGGGGATAAGTGTTTCACAAACATCTCTTGTTAACACACATTTTCAATTTGTGACATAGAATAAAAATTTTGCAAAATCTTACAAAATTTCGGAGTCCATACCTTCTCTAGCAAACATTATTCAAGTTATCTAGTACAAAAATATAAGCAATAGTCTGAATTAGTTAAATTGCTGATTTCTGAAAAAAAGTTTGCATTATTTATCCTTAAACATGAAATGTAAATTCATGATATTCATGCTAATATTAGAATAGAATATGTTTTTGAATATGTTAGTACTTTAAGTACTTTTTTCTATGAGTATTATTTTACCCAACTTTAACATATAAGTGCATCATCACACATACACTTTTTAAACTTCCTCCTGCTGTTGATGTCATTTCCTGCCTTGAATTTCTTTCGATAAAAAAGATATTTGTACTTATAGAAAGTGAATGTAAGTGTGTCATCAGTGTTTCCTTATTAAATATGTAATCTTTGTCCATGTTGAGAATAATGTCATGGTGTATTGAGAATGAAATGGATTGAGGCCTTGATTCTGTAGCAACATCATGATTTTTCACAGGTAATATAGAGAGGCTGATCTAGAATTTGAATTTCGGGAGAGGGGGGGGGGGGGAGATAATAAGGCAGGACCTGTGAGGTACTTTGAAGTCCCAAGTGAATCCAGAGGGAAGCCTGGTGGGGCTCAGGGGGCAGAGCCCCCAAAGCTCATGGATTCTAGAGATTTTGTAGGTTTATAAGTACCCATGATTTATTTTGAATTTTAGAATTTTATGGGGGGGGGGGATGGGTGCCCCCCCCCCCCCCCCATATGTATATTTGTCACTGATATAAACATATAGTTATCATTTGTGTAGTTATATGCAATATTTTTATCATCTGCATTACAGTAAATGTACATTAATTTAATTCAAAGAGATTATTTTCAAGATTATCAGCCAGTGTTTGTATATTAGTGTACAAAAATCATGTAGCCTTTGTTTTGCTATCATCATGATCATTCAGCATCTGTTGGAATGATATTCGTTTATTATTTAATTTCTTCTCTTGGTATAGATATTACAAAAAGTGTGGATTGCATGTTTAATTAACTTATAGATAGCATGTTACCTACATATATTTTATTCCGAATTTCTGTTGAATCTTATGTGTCATCAGAATCTTAAAAATGAGCCCCCCCCTCCCCCCCAAAACATTTGATTAATATTTTGAAAGTGACCAATAATATACATTAAACGAGGTCTGTTGGTACAGGTAGTCCCTTTAGAATTATCTTATAAGAACACATACTAAACATGTATCTTAGTTTAATTTAATTATAATGTTTTGAAGAGAGATCTTCACAGATTATAGAAAAAATATACATCCCTGTTTTTATGTTGTGGTACATGAACTTTTATAACTAGGAATTTTTTTTTCAACATAAAAACAAAATCCTATTAAATTAAAATTGCTCCTGGCGTAGATAGATACCAAGTCAACTGAATGTTTCAGTAGGCAAATTTTCAAGGCACGTACTTGTTAAAAAAAAGTATATAAGTGCGTGAGTAGTGAATCAATTAGATGATGTACTTCTCAGTGCTGGTACATTTATAACTAGCAGATGTTCAGTATAATTAAAATAAGTAGTGACAGTACAAGGTAGTTATCCTCAAGTGTATATTTAATGGAGAGACTTAGAGGCTTAAGAAATTTAAGCCAGGGAAAGGATGGTTATAAGGCAATACAAGAATTTGTCAGCTTGTTTATTTTTAATTTTCTGTATATTTCAGAACTTGAAGATGACAGAGTTTGACAACCAAAGCAGACACTGAGGTAGCAGAATTTTCATTGAGAGCACACTGAAGTTATAACAATGTGACCCGACATATTATAGGGGATTGCAGACAATTATTATCTTTAAAGGTAAATCTAAAATGTACCACAGTCACCCCTGTTTATTCCCAACTAGACAGTGTGTTTTTTATGTATTTTCAAGAGTAAGCCTCCCCCCCTTTTTTTTTTAACTAATAAATCCTTTTTTTCTAATAGACCATGAGAGAAAAAGATCATGTTTATCATGTTTAAAAATGAAGAACTTCTAAAAATTTCTAACCATTGCATGCTAATATATGTTATAGGAGCATCCTGTTTTATTTGACAAATCTTCATCAAACTTGGCAAGATGGGTGAGACTTTTGCACAGTGGAATCTCCTTCAGCTCTCGTTTATCGCAGTGTTTCCAGCATATCTAGCCTACATTAGGATTGTCAATGGTAATACATAACAGTAAAACACACTTATAGAGAACACACTTATATTGAATTGTTGCTTACAACAAAGTGATTTTCATTCCCTGTGACTTTAAAATATATTGTGAACCTAACTTTTTTTTAAGTGAATGTCTTAAGTTTCATTAAAATCTTGTTTAGACATCCATGTTTTGATATGAAGTGCTCCATATTGTGAACTGTCTTTCCAATGTACAGTTAAACATTGGTTCCTCAAATATCTTGCATATAAATATCATGCAAATGTCTAAATGAGAGTGAAGTCCCAACCACTGTTTATATATATTAACCTCAATATCTGGAATCCTTGGATATCTCAATGTTTTTGCTTAGTCTTATGGAGTTTGAGGTAAAGAGGTTTGACTGTACCTCACATTTTCTTTTAGGGATGGCCCTGGTATCCTTGTATGTCTACTTGTTTGTTTTGTGTATGCCGGCCATGCTGATACAGATGAAGCTCGGGGGATACAACCAGAAAGGCATTGTGGGACTGCTGTCCCAGCATCTGCCAATTAGTAAAGGTAATGTAGGTTCAAATCCACCTGTAGGGGATTCAATAAGGGGCAGCAGGAGGTGATTTATCACTGTTTCAATGATTGGAATTCACCACTTCAGATTTCATAATTGGCCAAGTAAACATTTGGAAATTACATGTAATTCTAAAACAGCTTCTTCAAATGGATAAATTCACCTCTTCAAAATTATTGAAAGCCTTCTTCTGAAGGTAAGGTTATCTGTCGATGGAGACAAAGTGAGCATCGACCAGTGAATATTTACATCCACTGAATATTATTTCCTATATTTTTATAAAAACCATTGCCGTTAATCAGTCAGTAAACAACACTAAGCAAGCCCCCTGCATAGATATCTTAAGCAACGGCTGTTCCATCAATTATGCATACAATGACATACACATCTATAATATAATATTTAACATATTTATTTTACTTTGAATGTTTTTTTAATCAGATATAAATATAAAAAATAAAATGTCTTTCTTTGTTTGTTAGTACGGGAATTAACGTTGCAGCTATTGCAGAAAAAAAATTCACATAACCTGCTTACGGGGGTTATGTATGTTTTCTGCAACAGCTGCGACATTAATTCCCATATTAACAACCAAAGAAAGCATTTGATTGTTTAAATATATAAGTCCACTTATTGCCAGTTGGTAAATGAAAGATTTATAACATCTGCAAGATAAAATGAAGTTGAATTCTGCCAGACAATGCAAGGTTAAATCCTGCAAATGTGAACACAAGGTTAACACCACTAGTGAGGTGAATTTAACAAGTTTTCCATGAATTAAGGCAAGGTTAACATTTACCAAGAGAGGTAATGTTAACTGCTGCCAATGAAGGTAATATTAACAGCTGCAAATGAAGGTAAGGTTTACATTAACATCTACCTGCAAAGGTAATGTTAACATCTGCCAAGTCAAGGTTATATTAACACTGCAAATGAAGGTAAAGTTAACATCTAACTATGAAGGTAAGGTTAACACCTTGTAATCATTTGAAGTAAAGCCATCTATTTTGAACTGTAGAGGTATGCAACACCTTTCAATTAGTAAAGGTTAATATCTCTGCAAATCACTAAAGATGTGTAGAATATACTTATACCTAAGGTTACTTAGTCAGAACCTGTAAAAGTTACATCAACACATGTCACTCATGTAGGTAAATCATGCCTGCTAGTCAACAAAGGAATTTCCAAGTTTACCAATCAGAATAAGTTAAGTTATACAACTTCCAAACTCTATAGTCATAGTCTTCATGTACCAACCACAGACCTTTCAAAATTAAATCTTTTTGGTCGATCTGTTTTGAAAATATACTGTGGATTATCTTCAACTTTTTGAATTAAAGCTCATTTACATATGTTTTAGGTGTGGGTGTGGCATTGTTGGTTGACCTTTTCCTGACCTGTTTATATGTTGCACCATTGGTCTGTCATTTTGGAATGTATGCCATTATCTCAATGATAGAACAACCCTATGTGTGGAGCAACTGTGATAAGGAGTGGAATACACCAAACTGTGCCGATATCCACACAAAAGTGTAAGTATGAATGTGGATACACCAAACTGTGCTGATATCCACACAAAAGTGTAAGAATGAATGTGGATACACCAAGCTGTGCTGATATCCCCACAAAAATGTAAGTATGAATGTGGATACACCAAACTGTGCTGATATCCACACAAAAGTGTAAGTATGAATGTGGATACACCAAACTGTGCTGATATCCACACAAAAGTGTAAGTATGAATGTGGATACACCAAGCTGTGCTGATATCCCCACAAAAGTGTAAGTATGAATGTGGATACACCAAACTGTGCTGATATCCACACAAAAGTGTAAGTATGAATGTGGAAACACCAAACTGTGCATATATCCACACAAAAGTGTAAGTATGAATGTGGATACACCAAACTGTGCTGATGTCCACACAAAAGTGTAAGTATGAATGTGGATACACCAAGCTGTGCTGATATCCCCACAAAAGTGTAAGTATGAATGTGGATACACCAAACTGTGCTGATATCCACACAAAAGTGTAAGTATGAATGTGGATACACCAAACTGTGCTGATGTCCACACAAAAGTGTAAGTATGAATGTGGATGCAGAAAATTGTGCATATTGTCCAAGAAAAGTATATTCACTGGGCAGAGTAATTAACATACATGTATGAACTACCAACTATTAACTTTGCATTTGTGAAAGGTCACAACAAATATTCATGACTGACTTATCTTGTTAACATATCATAGAATGTTGTAGAGACTTCTCAAACAAAAAGAAAATTAACCCCACTAGACTTTTTTTTGTTACTACATGTGTTTTTTTGTTCATCTTGGATATTTGCTTTTCATGAAATAAAAATGTCATTTGTTGCAGTGTTACTGGGACAGATAATGGGGATACCTATGAATTTAAAGGAGTGGGGCAGAACATGAAAATTACACCTGAGTTAGAATTCTACCAGTAAGTATTCATTAATAGTAAGCATGGTAAGTATTCAGTAGTCTTCAATATTTACCCCTGCAAATTACCTATGCTGAATACCTGGTTTATGTACAAAAGTACAAGGCTGTGCAGGTAATACATTGTAATGCTGTATTCCACTTTTTCGTAATGTATTTGTAACTTGAAGTTTGGAAAAATTGTGGTAATATCTCTCCGGTTAAAGGGTTATCCTCTCTTTCCCTACCCTTTTAGAGTTAGAATGCTACACATTAACCTTAAAGTATTTAAGTACTGTAATAATTTAATTATACCCCCGCCATAAAATGGCCGGGGGCATATAGTGTTACTGTGTTCCGTCATTCTGTCATTCCGTCATCATTGACTTTCCGTTAATTATCTTGGCAACAGTTGTACACATTCAACTCAAATTTGACATGGGGATACGTCATAGGAATATGCTGGTCAAATTCCAATCTGGTCATGGTCCGATGATTTTTGACAGAATTATCCCTCTTGATCTTAGAAAAAATAATAAATTTGTATGCCCCCAGATCAGAAGATCCCGGGGGTATATTGTTTTTATCCTGTCTGTCTGTTTGTCCGTTTGTCTCTTTGTCTGTCTGTCTGTTGTCAACTTTAACCTTGCCCATAACTTTTGATTGGTTGGAGCTATGACTTTCATATTTCACATGTGTATTCCTTGTGACAAGACCTTTCTCTGGGTACCATCATACTTGACCTTTTGACCTTGACCTTGGAGTTTGACCCAGTTTTGCAAAATTTTATGAGACTTTAACCTTCGCCATAACTTCTGAACAGTTGGTGCTTGGGGTTTCAAACTTCACATGTATATTCCTTGTGACAAGACCTTCCTCTGAATATCAACCCCTTTGACCCTTTGACCTTGACCTAGGAGTTTGACCTACTTTTAAAAAACTTTAACCTTGGCCATAACTTTTGAATGGTTGAAGCTAGGGCTTTCATACTTCACTACGTAATCCTTGTGACAAGATCTTTTTTTGGATACCAACCAATTTGACCTTTTGACCTTGACCTAGGAGTTTGACCTACTTTTGAAAAACTTTAACCTTGGCCATAACTTTTGAATGGTTGACGCTAGGGCTTTCATACTTCACATATGTAATCCTTTTGACATCACCTTTGGATACCAACCACTTTGACCCTTTGACCTTGACATAGGAGTTTGACCTACTTTCAAAAAACTTTAACCTTGGCCATAACTTTTGAATGGTCGGTGCTAGGGCTTTCATTTTTCACATATGTAATCCTTGTGACAAGACCTTCCTTTGGAAGCAACCACTTTGACTTTTTGACCTTGACATAAGAGTTTGACCTACTTTCGAAAAACTTTAACCTTGGTCATAACTTTTGAGTGGTTGGTGCTAGGGCTTTCATACTTCACATATGTAATCCTTGTGACAAGATCTTCCTTTGGATACCAACCACTTTGACCTTGACCTTGATGTTTGACTTTTATTTAAAAAACTTTAACCTTGGCCATAACTTTTGAACAGTTGCAGCTAGGTCTTTCAAATTTCACAGGTATATTCCTCGAGACAAGACCTTTCTTTGGGTATCAACATTTTTTATCTTTTGGCCTGGATTTTGACTTGCATTTGAGAAACTTTAACCTTCACCATAAGCTGCCATACGGGGGCATCAGTGTTTCACAAACACATCTTGTTAGTTTCTGCTCTCTAACTTTTGTAGGGGTGTATATATATGGTTGAAATTGCATATGCAGGTATTTTGCCAGAAAATACAGTCAAGGTTGATATTGAATAGTTTTTATCTTAGTTATGCCCCTTGAACCTAGAAAATTCTTTTGTGCAATCAAATTTAAAACTAAATGTGGCATTTAAAATTTTGGCTGCCTGCGAGTGCATTTGAGGTGTTACGACACATCTAGTTACTCAAAGATTTACCGTATAAATGGAATTTTTAGTGAGATGCAAATTTACCAAATCGTCCTAAAAAATCAGTACTTAATTTTAGTGAGAAGTAATTTTAGCGATTTTATGGTGGCATGCATAGAAAGATGATGGTAAACTCTTATGCGGAATAAATTGTTAACATTGTTATAAACGTGTAGGGTTTAGAATGGACATTTTATCTGAACATTTTAAACTTGGATTATATTCATAACATAATTATTTTAGTTATTAATAGTGACAGTAAAATAAAATAAAAGTTTGTTAAACAGGGATATACATTGTTTGTGTACCACATGCAGTGATTTTATAATTGGAAAAGAGACTTTCGTGACTATAATCATATTCATTTGTTAGATTAAATTGGATGTTGTTATTGATACAATGAACTATAATTTTGTAAACTCATTTGTAATGGAATTGATAAGAATAGACCAATCAAGCCCATTGATAATAAGTAATAAAATTTGAAAGGAAATGTAAAGTTACTATTAAGACTCTTGATTACTTAGAGTAATAAAATTGGGAACTTTGAAGCAGATATAAGTAAAAGAGCCTAGGGCTAGAACTCTTATGGTGCAGAGATGGGGACTGAGTCCATAAATATTATTAATGAAGGTATACCTGGATTGGAGGGTGGTGCCATGTTGGGGTTCATAGGTCAATGGACAGACCTACGGACTAAGCGTAGGTGGTATGGCAATGTTAAGTCAGCCAATGAAAAGTACATTTATATCCAGGACCATGAATACCCTCTGAGCACAAAATACCCTGTTTTGCCGGAAAACGGCACTCTATTCTTCCTTCTTTTGACCATTCATTAGGCATCTATTGACTCTCCTTTGGAATACTCTTTGGATTACAATTTGCAATTGGACTCTTAATTTTTTGGACATCACCTTAATTATTACTTTTGGAGTCTTCTGAAATATTTGGGATGGATCTTTATAACTTTTGCTACAACCAGCGTATTGATCTAGTCTGATGAAATTTCAGAAACAAGCATTTAAAAATCTATATGATCACGGTAGTTTAATAAACTTTTCAAAAAACTTACAAACTTTGTCATTGGCTTACAATATTTAATTTTAGCAATCTCAACATCCTCGCTAAAAAGCTAAAATTGAATCCTCGCTAAAATTTCTGCTTATGCTGTATTCCATTACAGACATTATCTTAACAGTGTTTTTATCTTGAAATGGGGTAAAGGAAGGGCTGATTCCCATGGATTAACAGGCAAAAACATGTTTTAAATCATAGTCATGTTTTTTTTAAATTATTTTTTACATTGATTTCATCTCTTTATTGTCTTTCAATACTATCAGTACTCTAATTAATATTCTACTTTTTTCAGTAATGCCTATTTACAACTCTCCAGCTCTGTCAGTAATATCACGGGGTTTCCTATCTGGACATTTACGTCACAGCTGCAGAATGTCGGGATTTCCCTACTTCCTGTTACGCTAGCCGTTCTCTGGATCCTGGTTTTTCTCTTCACAGCCTTTGGAGCACGAGTTTCTGGATGGGTATAATTTTGTACTTTGTTTTCACAAGTAAAAGTTGAATTAAAAAAATAAGATGGCAGCTGAATTTTGTGGGAATGGTTTTATCAATTTCTTTTCAATCTAACTTTTCACTATAATTTTAATCGATTAAGATTTCTTATTTTTCCTCTTCCTGAAATTAGGGTACGTTATGTTACATATTATAAAACTTTTATTAAAAGTTTAGTATACTGTTAGCTACTGTACACTGTACTTTCCTTTTAAAAATAATAATTTGAGGAAATTGAGACAAATTAGATGAGATGCATCTATATTTATGTTGAATTGATACATGTTAATCTGAGGCTTAGATAAATAAATTGTGTGTTACCGGTTCCCCGACCAACCCTAAAATATATGAGCCGACCCTGAAAAATTTATCTCTCTGGAAGTAAACAAATCTGGTTTCACTTTTTGAAATCCTAATCTTGATCACTTCCATGTTTGAGAAAATGCATATCCTATACACAAATAATTGGAAATGTTTTGACAGGGATTTCCCTATTGAATTTTAAAGAATGAAATGTTAAAATAAAATGTTTTCCCTAACTACCTATCCTATTTTTTCTCAGGTTGGAATAGGAAACACACTATTTATTTATCTTGGCCTGACTATTATTTCAATCATCATGCTTTTTATATAGTTCAAACAATAACTTTGGGCATGGTTAACCATTCCAGTTATAGAAAAGGCGTACAATGTACATTATGCTTTTGAAATGTAATCTTTCAGTAAATTATGTCAAATTTCAACAAAAGTTGGAGACAAAAGTGGAAAAAGCGAATTCTTTATACAATACGGCCAAAAGAAAATGAAGTTGAAAATTTTCTTAATATCATGGTTTTTGATAAATAATGTAGAATATCTTTTAAAAAAAAACACATGTATTAGGGAAAGCTTCTCAAATAAGAAGGTATCTCTCTTAAGGTTTTAGAGTTTCATTTTTAAAAATTCTTGTATCTTTCTGTGACTTTTTTAAATATTTAATTTTTAAAAATAACATCTCTTTTCAGATTTTGTTTATACTGGGCCCTACCTTTGTGGGTATGCTGTTGGCAGTGCTAGGTTATGGCTATAACAATCTAGAGTCGGAACACTCCAACAGTTTTCTTTTGCGGTTTTATAACCTGGACTTCAAAGGGTTCCTACAGCCTGTGGATACCAGAGTACTCGTTAATGTAGGTTTATTTTATCATACATGATTCTCAATACTGTTTTTTTTTTACCCAGGCGTGTTATATTTGCCCCATCACACTTGCAAAACATTTTTGCCACTGTTTAATTAAATCACATAGAGTTTCAAAAGAGATAACTGTGTGTAAGTTGTTCCATATTAAAAATTCGCCCACTGATGACAACTGAAGGCGAAATAGTGACAGTTTTGTGCATTAATGCTCACTTTATCACAAGAGCAATTATACACCCTTTCGGCATTTTTTTTTTGTTTTTTTTTTTGTTTTTTGTTTTTTTTTGCCTGTAGTGAAATTTTCCTACACCAATATATTTCCAATGAGAGAGATTAATGAATTTGTATATTAAACAGTAGGTACATTTCCCAGTAAGTGAGAAATTCATAGTTTCTGTAGCAATTCATCTGACTTATGTCCTGGGGAGGATCATAGTTTATATGAGAACTTGTATGAATTCTGTGAAAGGTTCATAGATTGTATAAGCTTATGTGAAATCTGGAAGAGGTTCATGGATTTTATAAACATATGTATGAACTCCATAAGAGGTTCAAAGATCATATAACATGTTAATGAACTCTGTGAGAGGTTCATAGATTGTATAAAATGCTAATGAACTCTCTAAGATTCATAGGGTATATAACAATGTATATGAATTCTGTTAGATGTTCATAGATTGTAACACAGTTTATATAAACTCTTTCAGATGTTCATGGTTTGTATAACAATGTATATAAACTATATAAGATGTTCATAGTTTGAATATACATGTAATAACCTGTATGAACTCCTTGCAGACTGTGAGTGAAGGCTTCGATTTACTGATGAATTCCTTACCGGTGTGGACAGCGATTCCTGTAACAATGGGAAAGTTCACGGGAAAAGGAAAAATTAGCCGAAACTTGTAAGTGTTTCAATGATGACATCAGCAGAACACAGGTAAAATGGTAGCATATGTTTTGAATTTTTTTTTTACATGCAGAATATAGCAGCATAATTCATTAAGTACACAGTAAAACACACTAATAGTGAAATGCCAGTGACAAAGATTTTTTATTCTTATAAACTTTATTTCATCAAATCTGATTATTTTATAATCATGATAAAATTTTAAAACAACAGGGATAATCAGTGTGTGAATCTATAATTTATTTATAAGTGTGTGTTCAACTTCATTGTAACTAAGTTTAATTGTATTTCTAATGGACAGGGTTTGGTTGCTGGTGATATCTGGCCCCAGGATCATGAACATCTTAAGCTTAAGTCAAAATCTTTATGTTGTACTAAAATGTTGTAGAAGTCAAGCACCCAAAAATCAAAATATTTTTTCAAAATTGCTTTCCAAAATTGTTGTTATCTGCAAGTTTAGAGATTAATTGAATAATTAATGAACATTTTATAGGCGATTGAAAATTTGACTTAAGTCTAAGTCTGTTTCATGATCCTTGGGCCTGGCCTATATTTCTGATTTATAAGGGCAGGTTGAACGTAATATCTGATCTATATTTCTGATTTATAGGGGTTGGTTGCAGCTGATATTTGACCTACTAGTATATTTCTAATTTATAGGAGCTGGTTGCTAGGAGTTCATATCTGAGCTATCTTTCTGTATATATAGGGGCTGGTTGCTAGGAGTTCATATCTGAGCTATCTTTATTTATAGGAGCTGGTTGCTAAGAGTTCATACCTGAGCTATCTTTCTTTTTTTATAGGGGCTGGTTGCTAGTGATTGTGACGTATGCTTTAGTGATACAGATCCCACAGCTGGCTATGGCACCTTATATAGGAAACCTGTTGGCGAAGTCCCAAGTGAAGAGTGTCTTAAAAGATGATGCATTGAATGGTAGGTGAAGGTAGTTCTTGTTTGTATTCATTTTTATAGATATTTTTGTGATAAAGCAGGAACATAGGGTGGAGGCTTCGAGTTATCTTTGCACTAAAATTAGCATGATAATGCTGTATATTAATGAATACTTCCTATAAAAAAGATTTTGACAACTCTTTCATGCATTTGAAATGAGCAAAATTTTTGTTGTTGTAAATGTGTTAGTCTGATTTTCTTGATAAAGCCCCCCCCCCCCCCCAAAAAAAAAAAAAAAAAAAAAAATTGAGGAAAAAATGAACAGCTGAAAGATGGAACCTGATAGCTTTCTATGGACAGGAAAAGTGTTCTGAATTTTTATAAAATGGTTAAAAATTTTATATAAATTTTAATAAACCTGAAAATCAGTGCTGCAGAGAGTACTTTTTTTTTTTTTTTTTTCATATATTGAAATATGATTTTTTAAAAAAAAAATTTATTGAATTTTAATTCTCATGAATTTAAATTAATCTTGATAATGAAGTAACAATCACTGTCAACCAGGATTTGATTTTTTCGTATTTATAATTTTTTTCAAAATATTTTTGTGTTAAAGATCACTCTTCTGTGTTGGAGATAAAAAAAAGTATCTTAATCTTGGTGACATGTAAATATAGTTCTCTTTTTATACATGAATTGTGGTATCTATGGAAATTGTACATGATAAAATGTGATATTTCATGAGAAGTCTAAATTAAAAAAGACTTTTTGACATTTGTGTGAAGGAGGAAAATGTTTATTGATTCAATTTTTGCAAATATGTACAACAATTAAAAGTTCTATGCACTCATCATTTTTTACCAAAATGAATAACAGGGATTTATTAATAAGAAAGGGAGGGGGAAAAATATGAAATGACGGGATTTATTAATTGAAAATCCTAATCTTGTGACATATTACTGTGTAACAAGCACCTTGCTGTTTTTTTTCTTTGATTATTGTCAGTGTTTTTGTGCTGCCATTAATTATTTTTTTCTGTTTTTGGTTTTGTCTTTTAGTCACCTCCAGGGGAATGAGTAAGTCTTTGATGCTAAGAATAGCACAGCACGCCATCATCATCATGCTGTTTTAATGTCTGTTTTTTTGTTTACATCATCAGTGTATACCATACTTTTCATGTGTTGGGTATACTTTGTATATAAGTTTCTTTGTCATCATGCAGATGTCTTCAAAATGCTCAAAACTGAATTTAAAAAAAAGAAGGTTTTTTTTTTGCTAAGTGAAAAGAACACCTGTAAAAATGTTCTAAACTAGGATTTCTAGAATTCCCCCCCCCCCCCCCTCCAAGAACAGAAGCATATTCTTTCGTTATCCAGTTGGTTCAAATCCTGGTTGAGGAACAGTACTTGGTACAAAAAATAGCTCAGTTTAGTTGCAGTATAATTTTTCTCACCCTCGTTTGGGAAGAAAGTGTATAAAACATAAAAATTAGTTGTCTGTATTTTTTGTTGTACTATAGTGTGTAATTCATATGTATTTGTGTTAGATTAGAAGTCATTTCATTAGCAAGAAATTTTCATCACCAAAACAAAAGGTTTCATTCTGTGTACGTTTTTGTTTTTAATTTTACATGTTCATGTGTATCAATTTATCATTTTACAGAAGATATCAGTGATCTTTAAAGGACCAAAGCATATAAATTAAAGGGACTCCTGATACTGATATTGGAAAAGTTTAAACATTCTTTTATAAATTCTCAATAGTTTGGGTAAATTTCAAAGAATACATACCAGTACACCAATGCTTGCTATAATATTTTTTTTTTTACTATAATCAAGCAACAAACAGATAATGATAGCATCTAGCATATTGAAATAATTTGCACAAGCATGCTTTGGGATGTGCTTGGGTTTTTACATGAAAGCAACTAACCAATCAGCTAGAAAAAATAAGTTGCTTGCTTGTCTTGGGTAAGTTAAGTTACACCAGCAAGTTAAGTTTGACCAGTGCTTGTTAAACACACTGGTGTGATCAGCATCATTTTTTTGTTGTAAAGTAAACCTTAATTCATTCATATGACAGAGTTCAGAACCCGCAGCATTAAGGCCCATTGACCTGCAATACTTACCAAAAAAATTAAACAAAAATTTAAGATTTTTTTTAGTCCTGACATGGGGCCAAGTCAAATAAAATATTATTTCTAATTACAGTAAAACACACTTATAGCGAACACACTTATAATGAATTGATGCTTATAGCGAAGTAATTTTTATCCCCATGACTTTAAAATATATTCTTAACTTATTTGATATAATGAATTACCCTTTCAACAAACCCTGGCACTTCGTTATGAGTGTGTTTTACTTCATATCCTCAAAAGATACTTAAAAGTCAGTACAGTATTTGCTATATATGTTTTGAAAACTTGGCCAGGGGCTGTTATAATGGGGATCTTCAGTGGTTCACAAACACATCCTAGTTTTTTGTTTGTAAACAGATTTTTGTTTTGTTTTTTCATTGTTAAATTGTTAGGGTTGACTTGTTGCTTAATTATATCTGTATAGGAAATTAATATTAGTATGTAGTTTTTATTTTCATTTGCAAAATCTTATTTTGTTTGAACATGCTTGTATATTTACAAGGGGTTACCATAGAAAAGATATGTTTCATTATTTTTTTAAGGATAGAAGTATATTTAAAAGCATGAAGAATAAACAAAAAAGATTCTACTTGGAAAGATTCATGGCCTTATAATTATTTTACAGGTATAGAGCTTGTATTTAATGCGATGCCGGCAGCCTTCGCTGAGTTGGAGGTTCCACCCGTTTACGCCATGCTCTTTTTCCTATCACTCTTCATTTGCGGGTTTATGTTTTTGGTATGTACTTTTATGTTATGTGTAATTGAATGTTTTCCTATATAATTAAATTTTGCACCAGGAAGAGCAACTATTGCTTGGCTAGCATAATTATTAGTGCTGTTTACATACATGTACATGTATACCATGTGAAATGTAAACTGTAGTGACTTATTTTAATTTTTTTTTTTTACCTGCATTTAAAACAAAGACTAAATAATTGACTTTTAGTTTTACTGTAAAGGCAGGGTATATACTTATACAGTTAGCCTTAATTACCAAAATCACAATATTGAAACACAATTCAAGTTGAAAATCAAATTTTTTTTTAATTTAGTTTGATATCATAATATATAGAATTAAACATCTTACAAAATTAGATCTTTGATGAGTTTGATGTGCACTTTATTTTTACAAAACAAAAATGGGAAGCTGGTCAATGCATGATCATATTTTCTTCAGGCTAATTCACCAAATAAAAATTACAACATAGTCATGCTAGTTGACATATATGTATTCAGATCACAATGGTAACAGAAAGGAAAATTAACCTTGATTATGATATTACATTTGTTTGTGTGTTAATGCACTCTTTATTTAATCTAGTGCATTGCAGTTTTGATGATTATTGACAACTTCATAAACAGTTTTGATGTCACAATTTCCATGCCTCTTTGATGGTAAATTAACTTGTGATATTTCATTTGTTTGTATGTTAATGCATTCTTTCCTTTACTTAGTGTGTTGCGATGTTGACGATCGTTGATAACATCGTAGACAGCTTGACGTCACGATTTGCACGGCTCTTTGACAGGAAGCACTGCTGTACCTTCGTAACGACATTCTTTCTCATGGTAGCCCTCATGTGTTTAGGACTTTTGATGACAACGAGGGTATGATTCTTCGAAAAATATCTGATTCTAATCAACTATGATTTGTGACAACTTTTATTCCCAGTTTGTCTATCCACGATTATTCATTTTCTTGACTGAGGAAAAATTCTACATAAATACACAATAAAATATAGTAAATATACATATATTTATTTACATAAAAGAGGACACTCTTAAAATTTAGATCAATTGTCCTCGTCAACTAATTAGCACAATCATTAACATGATAAATTAGCTCACTGGAGTTTTACCAATGACGTATTAGTTTTCATCACATATTAGCATGATTAGAGTGTACACAAATGTAAATTAGCTGACAAGAGGCAGCGAAAAAAGGGACTTAAGTGTAAAATAAATACTGAGAAAAATAAATTTAATATTTATTTTATTTAATTCATTTCTGCAGTGGTTGTAATCACAAATATAAGAAAGTAAAAATAAGTTGATATTTCTTGCTCATGAATAAGAGTTGGTTAAAAGGAAAAAGTGGGAAATTTTGCATGAATGCATTAATTTTATGAAACAGAATTGCGTTTTTTTAAAGAATTGTTTCTCTCATTTCAGGCTGGGTTTTTCTACATAATTTTGTTGGACCAATCCATCACACGACTGAGATTTATCACTGTATTCATATTGGCAGTATCTGTTATTATTGTTTATGGTGAGTTGTTTATGCTATTAAAGGGTAAATATTTCTCACTCATGTTTTAATTCCTTCTGAACATTTTAGATTTTTACAGGAAACATAGGTCATATGTATACTATTAGTTATCCAGGTTCAGTCAAGGGTGTACGGGGATTTACCCAGGTTTTATTCCATACACCTTGAAGCCAAAGGCCAAAGGGTGTATAGAATACAACCTGGGGTAAATCCCCGTACACCCTTGATTGGACCTGGATAACAAATTTATTTCCTATGTAACCAAATAAATTCTTTGTAAACCGAAGCTCTAATAAATTGTGTTTCAAACTATTGATAAGATTTACTACGTGCTACAATGCATTGTGATATCATGTTATTTCCTTGTGTGATAGAGAAACTATGCATTGTGACGTCACATTATTTACCCCCTGGCTCAAGCCGTGTGTACGGAAATGCTAACCAATGAAGTATCGTGTTATAAGCTGAATAGGAAATAATGTTTTATACCCTGTTTTGCATGTATTGTATAAAGTATGTTTTCAAAAGTCCTTTCTCAATTTCCTCTTTACAGTCTTTATTTTGGAAAGGGTATTCCTAAACAAAATCAAATAATGTTTTCCAAAGTTGTTAAAGTTTCAAAATTACATTGAAAGGATTGTGATTTTCTTTAGTATTTCAAAAGACTGACATTGAACTTTTAATGCAAATCTTGAATGGAGTGTCTTAGTTGTGGAAAATACACGTTTTCCAGAATCAACATTGATCTTCAGTTTTGTAATATATTTCAACATGTATGAGGGATATTTCTGTCCAGTAAAAATTATCTGAAGGGCTGATGAGGGGAGGGGAAAGGGCACCACTCATTTTTTTAGTCCACTCCAATAGAAAAATGAGCAGTGATACAGGTCTGTTATGAAGTGATTAATGTTACAATCTTTACCTTTTATTATATATGGGTAATTCTCCTTTTTCATGCTATGCTTGATTGATTGACTGTATGTTGTTTTAAGTCATATTCATAAAGTTTATGAAATTATATTTACCTAATTATTGACCAGCTATTTTCTGTGTAATTATCCTGTTCAGACTTATTGTATCGGAACCATTTGATTTATTTTACATAAACAAATCATCAAATGCATTTGTCTGTGACTTAGTTTGCCTCTGTGCAGTGTTGATCTCCCCTGACTTTCTTTGTTTGACTTTTTTTCAGTGAAGCACACATTCAGCATAGTAGAGAGAATCTTGATCAGTATATGGTGTATCTTGGCTGCCACAGCCACAGCGGTAAGCATTGCAAAAATTAAAAAGTGATGATGCTTGATGTAACCCCCCACCCCCCTTCTTTTTAATCAACAGTGGCATTAGTGACTTGTCAAATAAATACTATCACTGAATTTCAAAGAAATTGTTCTGTTTTCTTTTTCATATAAGATGTTTCAAAGAATTTCTGAGAGACAAGGAGGAAAAAGTTTGAATATTATTTTGTGTGTCACAAATCAATTATAGAACCCTGACTGAAAAATCATAATTTATTTTGATAGGTGGGGAAAGATGAATTATCCATAGGCATATGAACCAATCTACATTTCTCTTGATGAACTTAAGTTTTCTTTCTTGACCTTCCTATCTACCTAATCTTTGTTGCACCTGGAGGCAGATAGGGCAAGGACTAGGGATTTTCATTCTTCTCTGTTCTTAGCCATCTTTTCTTGAACTTAAGTTTTATTTTTTTTTTATATGACAGGGATTTTGGTTGTACTCCTTCATTATGTACCTGGGGTCTCCACTGACGTATGCGGGTCATGAATATTCTAAGGTGTTTGATCTGGTCTCGTGGATCATCTCGGCTGTACCTTACATAGCCATTCCTGCAGCTGCCATGCACAGCTGTGGCTTGTACGAGGGAACCTGCAAAGAGGTAATGTTGTTTAGGGGAGGGGAAAAGGGAATGGAATCTTAAAAAAAACATTTGGATTTTTTACTTGATCATATTTTCAGTCTTTCTTTGGGAGAATAAGTGTCTGCTCATGAAATGTTTTGGGGGGTAAATGTTAACAATTTTCAATAATTATAAATTCATCTGAATTATCATATGATAAATCACGCAGGCATAATTTTCAGGCAAACTATTATAGAAGATAAAATAAAAATTTTACAAAGGAAAGCATTGTTTATCAGTTGGATAGTTATCTTTTTCCAGCAAAGTCAATCATCTATAAAGGATATCAATTTTATTGCATTCAATGCATTCAAATTCTTAAACCTAGATGTAGCAAGTTTAGAATTCAGATAGTATGATAATTGTGCAAAAGTGAATAAGTAATGTTTAGCAGAGTATTACTCCTAAAAGATGTCATTTTTTTCATTGTATTTACTTCTGAGGCTAAGTTCTTAAATGATGATGATAATTTTGTGAACATTTTTTTTTGTAAGGAATTTTTCAATTTTTTTAAAGTATTACATGTATTAATTTTCTAAGATAAGCATGTTATTTTGAACAGAGAATGCAGTACATGTTTTGTGGTAACCAGGAGGAACCACGCGACTACCAGGGTTACTACCCGGCCCCTGAGCCCAGTGCCCCACCTGCGTACTCCTACAACACCAACAGCTTTGGACGTAATGGCTCTATGTTGTATCCAATGAACGACATCCACAAAGATGTTTACGACCCTGAAATGGAACCGTTGGACACACGTCTACGCTCGAGTCGTATTTAGCAATGAATGGCTGGTGTGAATCTCAAAAGGATGAGGTGGATCTAGAAAACAAAGTGGAGTGATTCATAACCTTTCATGTAGTCAGACATGGACGCAGGGTTGTGGAGGTGTGGGTAGTGTAATGTTATTTTCATACCAAGGAGAAAGAGGAGGTGTATTTAAATAAATGCTAGATCTGCAGACAGTCTAAAGCCTTAAACAGGGGATCTCACCAGTGATTTATCATTTTATAGGGGAAGGGGATGAAATCAGAATGTATATATGGAACATTGTTATTAATTAACATACATTTTAGTGTGTGTTTCTTGTAATTACGTGTTGTATTGAATACTCTGAAAGATTTGTTCTTTTTTGTATTGAAATTGCATAATTAATGCAGGAAAAAAGAAAGTTTTGAATTTTTATAGCTGACCAAAAGATCATGTTTTCAATTTTTGAATGTATGAAATACATGCATAACACAGGACTGTATTTCCCCCAAAATTATGTGTTTTCTCTTTTAAAATAATGAAGTTCTGTATTGCATTTTGATGGAATCCATAATAAATCATTTTCATTTTGTTAAATTTTATCTGCATAATTATAATTTTTATCTTTAATATGGATAAAAAATTACTTCATTCCAGTAATACAAATCACACTTCTTTATAATGCATTTGTGTCAGTATGACAATATAATCTCATACAAGTTTGAAAATATGAATTGTTTTAGACTTGAATGAAATCAAAGTATTGTGAACTAGTCCAGTAGAATACAAACATTGTATATATATATACTCCCATCAATTTATGTTACAAGAATGTTATAAATACTCTTCTATTAAATTGAAATGTTTAATGTGGTATTGCTTTAATTTATAGTTGTTTAAGAATGAATATCCTAGTTAACTGTAAGTCAGAAATATGAATGCCACATTCATGTAGAGTTGGATTTATGTGTTACAATTTACCCATACTCCATAGAGTGTCAATTTTCTGGGACTGCTTTTGATTCCCTACAAGTAACGAATACAGTAAAACACGGCGACCACGCTTATAATGAATTACGCTTACATTGAAGTGATTTTCATTCCCTGTTGTGAACTGAATTTATATAAAGAGTTACGTTTATAATGAATCAAATTTGTTGGTCCCTTGCACTTCACTATAAGCCTGTTTTACTGTATGTAGTGTAGCATCACGTAATACTGAGGTGTCTGGAGCTTACAAAATGAGAAGTTTACATTGTGTATTATCTATAGAGAGGCGGCACAGCACGTTTAAGTGGAATATTTCTGTTATGTTATGAATACTAATATAAATCTAATTAAGTACACCATATGGGGTAAAATTTGACACAAAATTTAGAAAGAAATGTTATAAAAGAAACTTTCTCTTTTTAGAGTTTATTTTTTTTTTTTTACCCATAATTACATTTCTCCTAAGTAACACCATTTCATCATCCTTCTTTTTTTTTTTTTGCAATGTTGATAAAATGCATTATGAAGTAATTCAAAGATTATAGTGTATGTTTCAACCAAAGTCATTGCTAATTGAAATGGACAGTAGGCTTTGCTTTTGAAGTATTGAGGTTGTTAAAAAGAAAGTGATGTTTGAATTGTTTATAATCATAATAAAAAAGAATATACTGGTTATATACTGTAACTTTTTTTCATGTGGTATATTTCCTTTTTACAGATTTCTGTACATGTATTTGTATATTGTGTTGATAAGTAACTTACCATAAGGTAATTTTGAACTGTACTGTACATTTATCTTTTAATAGAAAGCAATTTCATTGTTTTGGGGGGGAGGGGGGGGGGTATCACCTAGCAAATGTTCCTAGCAAGCAAAATGACATCAGATGATATTATTAAGCAGACACAACCACAGTATATCTTAATTTGTTTGCTATTGTTAAGTGTATTTGTAAAATTCTTTTGGGCACACAGCTCTCATCCCCCATGTGTTCCTGTGGGCCTGATTTTTAATACATATGCTTTACCACATCATGCATTTTTATTAAAAGCAGCTGGATCAAAAGATGCATTGAAATGCAAAATTATTAAGCCATTTGGAGTATTACTATTTCTCAGTTTTGAGAAAATTAATTTTTTGAAAAATGGTAGTATTTTAATATTGACCAGCACAACACAGTATTTTATTAGCACATTTTACATGGTGTATTTTATTTCATTTCATTTCATTGCTTTTCATGATATCCGCAATAAGAATTGTTGAATTATGATATCTATGTGATAATGATTGAGAACTGTTTTAGTTAACTAGAATCAATTTTAATTATGATCAAATGTTTTTCTTTTTAACAAATTGACGCAAAAAAAGATTTTTTGGGAAACACACAAGTATCATGTTGTAAATTCTAAATTTTCTGGGTGGAGGTAAATGCAAAATTTACAACACAATAACTCCGCCTAGTTAATTCAAAATTTACAACATGATACAAGCTTCGATATTGATGAGAATTGCCTTGGATTAAAAAAATCTTCTCCTTGAAGTCCAGAGTTTTGTTGTTTTATATTAGGAATTCTCAGAACATAAGAGGCATGCAGTGAAAAGTTTTTAGATTGTCAATTAACTGTTACTGTAGAATTTTCATGAAAACATGTTTTTGTGTCATTGTGGTTTTGTTGTACAAAAGATTGAAAATATACTCAGAAGTGTTGAAATAGTAATAAAGTTCAACAAAACATATTTTGTTTTTGTTCTCATGCAATTTTTACTTTGAATAAGCCATATGTTGAAATTGAAATTATGTATAGCAAATGTTTATTTTCTATAAAAGGCTTTGCCCTTGTCACCTAAAAAAGAATAATGTGAAAAAAAATCTTTCAAAATGCTGTCTCTCTCTCTCTCTACATTTTAAGTGAAATTGAAGTACTCACACATAGTTCCTTGGTACTACGGTCACGCTTATTTTCTGTAGCATACACACTGAATAGGGTCCCTGAATGAGGACCCTGGTTACATTTATTTCCTTACATAAACACTGAATAAATCCCCGATTACACATGAATAAATCCCCGATTACACTTATTTCCTGTAACATAGACACAGAAGGGTATCCTTGGTTACATCTATTTCTTGTAGCATACATTCCTTATTACACACTTTGCGTTTTTTGTTGTCCTTGGTTACAGTTTGAGTTGGTACTTGATCATATTTTGTTGTCCCTGGTTACACTTTAAGTTAGTACTTGATCATATTTTGTTGTCCCTGGTTACACATTAAGTTGGCACTTGGTCATATCTACTGAGAATCCTCCGAGCTCGGAATTTAAGCACGTGACCAGCCAAGTTCATTTCCCAGTGAACTTTTTAACTTTGTTCTTTATTTTTAGAATAAAAAAGATTTTTGTAGTTTGCTTGAACTTTAATGAACAAGAACAAAATCAAAAGTTTATAGACATAGAACAACTCACATTGCTCAACGAACAACGGCGATCGGAAATGTAGACAAATAGGTCATTTGCGACTCTCAGGGGATGTAAATTGTAATTGTACATTTAGTAAAATTAGTTTTGATAACAAACTGATGAGATTTTTTTTTAGTTGAATGATTGTGATTTTCATCCCCCCCCCCCCCAAAAAAAAAATTACTTGTATGTGGAGCGTTTACAGTTTATAATCCAGATCAGATTGAATACCATTGTTGATATACCATTTTTCAGTCAGACTTTACAAAGAAAGCTTAGTTTTTTGTCACATCTGAGGTCATTCCAATTAGAATCCGTGTATTTTTCAGTACAATCTTCAGAACCACCTGCATTGTTAGGTTCATTTTTCCAGTTTGTATAGTTTGGTTTCTGGCCATCGGACACAAAGACAAAGTCATTTTCCTTTACTACATCCGTCAATCCGATCCAAATACGTTTAACACCTATAACGATTGCAATGAAATATTTACGCAATTAAATAATTTCGGATATTGGGGAAAAACTATGGTGATCTTTCTGAAAGAGAAATACCTTGACTCTTTAAGTAGAAATCAATCCATTTTTCTTCTTCTGGAGTCCGAATCTCTAGAATGTTTGCCCCGGGTTTGACACTGGTACGCCATTTCTAGAAAAACATTTTATTTTATAAATCACAGATCTTTAGATCGCTTTAATCCAATTGACATACTTGGGTTTTATTATTATTTTTTTTTTTTGTATACTTCCAGTTTGTCAATTGGATTAAAGCGATCTTAAAGCATGTGTTATAAAACCCATGATCGAGTAAAATAACATATTATTAAACCTTAATATCAAAATTGGCCAAATAAGATGTAGTGAATCATCTTTAATATACAAGTTTAAAACAAAAAACAAAACTAAAAAAAAAAAAAAAATGTTTTATGATGTTTAAACGTCAATGTTAACTTACCACGGCATCACTAAATGTTGCATTTTCACTTGAAAACAGATAGCAGCTGTTTGCTAGGTGAATCCAGTCATTTTCACAAGCTGCGAAAAATAAAATCTTTAAAATTATTGAAAAAAATGTACGTTTTATATCACTCAATGCCCTTCAGTAGATTCAAGATGCTTTAACAATTTTCTGTAAATACTTGCCATCATAACACAATGACAATATTAAATATTTATATTTTCCCAGCCATCAAGGAAATTTTGCAAAAAAAAATCCATTACTAGAAAACATTTAAAACAATTCGTTTTATCGACTCATTCAGATAGTGATATCATAGGATAATTTTTAATTATGTTCTTTTTGTTGCAAATATGACACCAAATTTAACTAGATTCTTCACCCATTTGATAAAATAATGGACAGGAAAAGATATATTAATGTATCTGTATAACATACTGGTTGCATGGCATGAGCAAAACATATATGCATATACATGTATTTAAGATCTTTTTATTTTTTTTTACAATACTCGCTACGAAACCTTTAAAAGACGCGTACGGAACTTAAAATTCAATGTCCTATTTATTCATACTGTTGTGGATATACATTTCACATTTTCAACTGCTTGAAAAATTGATTATCATTATCAAAATCATTTTGGTGACAGTAGGATCTAAATAATATTTAAATAACGTACATCGTGACAATATGTATCACGGGAAATGGCATTCGCAGCTTTGTACTTTTTAGAAGGAAATAATTTTAGCAAATATGAAATGTGAAAATAGAACACATAATTTTAAAACAATAAGTTTTTTCCCTGCGTCATGTGCAATGTGCACATTTAGACGATAATTTCTCTGTACTTGCCGTTTTATACATATAATATACATACATACATACATACATACATATATATATATATATATATATATATATATATATATATATATATATATATATATATATATATATATATATCCGCTACCGCCCCGACCCGGGGTTTAACTCTCGACCTACAGGAACAGCGCACTAGACCGCTCGGCTATCTAGGCAAGTCAAGAAACTTGCTTTCGATGCCGATATGGAATTCTCGCGGCGCTGTCTTATACTAAACGGTCATTGAGAATGAAAGTGAGATACAGTTATTTGGACATTAGTATTATTAGAGGATATTTACCGATACATATTGTAATGAAGTATTTTTATTTATAAAACACATTTTACAACAACTCTTAAACTAACATACACTGTAGCTGCTCTAGGTGCATGAAGAAACATTAATACGGAAAGCACAAACAAAGTCACTTTTATAAATATACACAATATCGCCCCAACGCCGGGTTGAACTCTCGACCTTATGTTCGTTTAAGAGTTACTTTAAGAACATGTCATATATATGCATTTCAATTTATGCTGCTTTTTTTTCAATTTCAGTCCTTTTTGTAACTGCTAGTATATGTGCTTATTTCACATGGTTCAATTAAATTATGCTTTTCTTACTAACTATGTATATTTTTACTAACTTTTATCTTTGAGTAAATTTGTTAAAGTCGGTTAAAGAGCCATCACAGCTCATGTTAATCTGTTATACTGTATATACATGCCGGCTATAAATAAAATTTACATGACTTGACCACTTGTGCTTGATTTATTATAACGAAGATTTCCATATGAATGAGTTCTTTATAACGGAGTTTTTTTTTGCCTTTTGGTCACCATATGCGCTATTGTCGACATAAAAATGCATTTAATATTCGTTTTTAGTGCAAGATCATGTTTAAACGTTAAATGAAACAAGTAGAGCTTTTTCAAAAAGCTTACTGTCTTTAGCAATAACCTAAAACAGTAAACTGACCAAAACCTATCAGGCCGTATAATTCTTGAAAATGTCTTGGCTTTGTATTTCTTCATTAGTTTTTTTTCTGACATAAAGATAAGCCCTACAAAGTGAAAAACAGATGCTCGGCTGTCTCCGTAAACTTCGGCTCTGCTGCCGAAATCATTCGGCAAACCTAGGCTGATTCCGTGACCTTTGTGATATGTAATCGGCAAAACAAAGGGAAAAAGAATACATATATACAGACCCTAAAACGTGCTACTACACCACTTGCTCGGTTCGTTTCGTTTTGTGTACTGTACGCTTCTTGCACGGAACGGTACGCTTTGTGAACGGTACAGTTCGCTTTGTGCACGGTACGGTACGCTTCTTGCACGGAACGGTTCGTTCTGTGAACGGTACGCTTTGGTGAACGGTATGTAAATTAAGTGGGAGGAGCCTGTGCGCTTTCGTTTATGATTGGCTACTTCATAAAGTCGTTTATTTCTTTAGTATAATCTCTTTATTTTATATAAATGGAAGGACGGTGTCGCAAGCATTTTCTAATAAGTTGTTTTTAAGTTAAAGCTGTTATAAATATTTCCTTTTTACACCTGTATTTTCGTTATTACATGTAACTAGTCGTCGTATTAACTGTATCTTTTTTAAATTTACTTTCTGTATGAATTACTTTCAATTTTTAAAATAAAATAATTTTAGAAGTCTATTTATTATCTTATTTTGTATACCATCGCCTTACGGTTCAATAACTTGGAAATAAATCGAACATATCAACAAACACTGGATGAAAAAAAAAAAAATTTGGTAGCGTCGCCATAAAGGCCTTTTTGTATTTCTTTTTAAAGAATAAGGGTACGTGTTTTTGTTTTGTTTTCTTTTAATTTCCTAATTGAACACAATTATTATTTTAAATATTCACTTATCACACTTTTAAACAAATGAGTTAGATTTTATAAATCCCTCATGCTTTCATTTCGTCTACCATTCTTTTTACGTTCTTGTCACCGATGCTTCATTAAAAAAAACACAAACAAACAAACAAAACAAAAACAAACAAAAACATTTTTTCTCTTGACCGAATGATCAGACAAACAATAAAAAATAAGTTATTATTTTCATTTTTGTTTGCGAGGAATTATAATTTTCTTTTTATGTAGATTCCTTAGGTGTTTGGCTCACTAGGAAAAATACATTGAAAAGTAATCGGTAGAAGTGCACACAATTAGTGCAAAATATTATTTTATTTTTTGTGCGCGTAATTGTTTTCCTTTTTAGATAAATTTTCCATCAATGTAAAATCGCATTTTGAAGGGAAGTTACAATCACGAAAACGGTTAAGACAGCTACAATTCCATCTACACTGTATATGATATAGATTGACTGCGAAGACAGATTTCCGAAATAAATGATATGTCAAAATGTTAGAAATAAATAGTCCGTTTTCAATTACCTAGAAAATAAATAATATGCAGCCATGCATGTCCTCAAAAACTTTGAAAATGAATAATTTACCCATGCCGGGCGCTACCCCCCTTCCCCCTTTGTTTCCTTGTTAAACTCAAACTTTTCTTATTGAGGATCTAGAAGAAAAGCTGACTGCACATGATATTCTGTTTATCTGCTGATTAAAACTGGTTCATTGTTGTAGACTTACTGTTTAAGACAGCAAACTGTTGATACACCTGTGAGTGTAGGCACATCTGGACTAACGGGATTTGAACGGTTCAATATACACAGCTTAAGTTTTTACCGGTGCACGTGTGATGACAATACTTGATCGAAATTTTCAAATGTTTTAGAGAAAATAACGAAAGTATAGAAAGAAGTCAGTCTAGATAACGAGACCATGGCAAGAAATGTACAGTGTTTCTTAAAAAAAAAACTTGGATGAACACGCATGCACGGACTAAGCATTAAAAAAAAAGGATTAAACTGGGCTATGTGTAAATTCCAGGTAACATATTTTACCTGCAGGTTTCAGTTAATAAAGCAAATGAAGTGGGAAAATGCTTTAAATAAAAATTAATTCTCACATATATCCAGATTGTTTTTTGATTACGTGTATTAAACTGAAAATTCCATGCGAAAATGTGGCGATCGAACTTTTTGACAGTATATTATATTGGCGATAACATCTTGGGTTGGTCAGAATAGTGTAAACCAACACATATTATTTATATATACATCGCTTTTATTTCTTTCTTTCTAGTGATTGAGAGGCGTTTACATTTTAACATGTCCGCTTTCAAATAGACAATTTAGTTCGTAATTTTTGTTGTTGTTGTTGTTGTTGTTGCTAAATCTGTAATCCTTTCTCCCTAAAACTATTACTTACATGAATGAAAAATGATTTTAAGGGCTTGATTTCGGAAAATAGCATGGTTTCCGAGAACGTTCATAGAGGCAAGAATAGGGTAGATAAAAGCTATAGAAATAAACGATAAAGTATTTAATTCACTTTTATTTATTAAAAATTGTACACTCGAAAATATTACGATGCTACATTTAATGTGAAAAAAAATGTTAGTCAAGCACAACCCGATCATGCATAGCGAATTAGGGATCGCCTCACACTCTGTCGAATTGTTTCGAAGTCGTAACTAGTTTTGAGTAGTTTCCTTATATTAACAGAAGTAATTCCAGATGCATGGTACTTAATAAAAATAATTTGAAGGTTATTTTCCGTCCTTCTTTAACAGGCGCTGCGTCGAAAGAAATAAAAGAAAATTACTTACTGTAATTAGTCATGCAAGATTCAGAATGCTTTCGGAGCGTGGCTTGCATTATTATTTCAAAAATTATTCATGAACGGTACGGTTCGCTTTGTGCACGGTACGGTACGCTTCTTGTACGGAACGGTTCGTTTTGTGTACGGTACGGTACGCTTCTTGCACGGTACGGTTTGTTTTGTGTACGGTACGGTTCGTTTGGTGCTTCTTGCACGGTACGGTACGGTTCGTTTCTGAGGTGTAGTAGCACGTTTTAGGGTCTGTACAAGCTGTAAAGCTTGCATGCAATAAAGATCAATTCTGTTAACGTTAACAATGAAAAGATAGAAACGTTTTATGATAATTGCTATAAAAAAACTAGCATGTTATTTCGAATTAGTTCCACTGTTCGTTTTGTCATATTTTTTTACGATTGAAAATCTTGAAAAATTGGTAAGTCGTACGAAAGTTAGATCATCAGAAAATTATTTCCCTTGCCTTGAACAGCATTTCAACCAATGAAATAATTGAAAATTTTCTCATCATA